TGGAGGAGGAAATGTCACTGAGTTTTAATGCACACAGATTGGCTTTATAGACTAAGAAAGAATATAAGATTACTAGCAATTTATGGAGATGGAGCTTTTAGAATGAGTGAAAGCAAATCATCTGTTTGCCTTTAATCTACAAGTTGTTTTACATTTTGCAAAGTGAGTTTATTTATCTGCATGCAATATAAGATACTAATGATGTTCCAATGAGATGAAATTTAAAAGATTTACTTTTTTACTGCTAGAGAATGCATAAGAGTTTAAGATAAAAAGATAAAAGATAAAATCGTAAGGATTTGACTGCAGAATTATTGTGTTTTGTTTTTCTGTACAGGGAGGAGGTGTTAGTTAAAGATAAAACTCTGGCCAGAAACCTTGATCATATTATGGCACTTTGTAGTTGTTCAGGTTCTGTAAGTAGCAAGTTATGAGTGAGCATCATTATGTTTTTGTTTTATTATCTATGAATGATTTAATGTTTGCATTTTTATGTCATTACCATCTATCTTTCCTTCATGTTTCACAATTTCACTGGTTTTCAGTATTGCATGGTACAGACTTATTTGCTGTGAAACTGTTCTAGTGAAAAATGTAATGAATACAGTTAATGATCTGTGTATGACTGTATTTTATTTTGCTTTGTAACAACTTTGATATTGCTAAGTGGTTAGCTGATTATGATATATATATCTACCTATATGCTGTTTTAAAAGAAGAAAACCAGAAGTTTAGAAAGATTTGCATAAATATTGTGATTCCATATACTGTGTATTACTTTATTATTATTATTGTTGTTATTATTATTATGATTATTATTATTATTATTATTATTATTATTATTGCTGTTATTATGCTTATCATTATTATTATTTTTTTTTTATTATTATTATTATGTTTGTCATTATCATTTCTATTATTATTATTATTATTATTATTACTATTATTATGTTGTTGTTATTATCATTATTATTACTATTATCATTGTTGTTGATGTTTTATTAGTATTATTATTTTCATCTTTTGTTTGTTAATTTATATAATCAAAATTATTTTCTTATTCTTGTTCTCTTATTCGTTTGGCCCTTCTTGTTCCTTATTTTCTGCATTTTAAAAGATTTCTTGTTCTTCATCCTCATCCTGATCCTAGTCCTCATCTTATAATTTTCTTTGAACACTTTCTCCTCCTCCTTATTATTACCCTTATTTTTGTTATCATTCTCTAGATATTCATATTCTGGATTGGCTTAATTTACTGAAGGGTACTGTGATTAAGTCATGAAATAAGATAATTTGTCAGATATTTTTCCTGCTTCGTCTTTCTTTCTTTCATTCATTATTTCTTTTTTCTTCGTCATAAACAGTGGTTGTAATTTTCAGTATATGTAAATTTATCTCTTTGACATATCCAGAAGTGTGCTAGTAGATTTGTGAACATGAGGAAAACTAAACAAAAATAATAATAAAAAAAGATTAGAGTGCATATCCACTCCAGTTAATATCCTCTACCATCCTCATAAAATTACTTTTAAGAGAAGGCACTGGCCTAGCCTTTGCCAATGATGGAGTTTGTGGTGTAAAAGAATCATTTATTCAACATTATTGATTTTATCCATTTTGTATAAGGGAGGCAGCTAATTGAGAATGAATGATAAACTACAGAAAGGCAACAAGAAATATGTGACAATGGAAAGTGTGACATAAACCTGAGATTTGATTTTTATTATTATCATCATTTTTATTATTTGTATTTGTATTTGTATTAGTATTGTTATTATTGTGAATTATGATTTTTTTCTCTCTGTTCCAAGAGACAAGAATTTTCCTCTAAAGTAAATTTCCTTAGGCCTACATGTGCTTTCTTTATAAGGTCTAATCTTGCTGTAAAGCATGATGATGAAAATATATATCAGGTATGAATGTCTTTATTGTGAGGAATTTGAGCTGTAGGAGAAATATCTAAAGCCAGAATAAGTAGACAAAGGTTTTAAGATAAAGAGATACTGTCAAGTGTTACTTATCTTCGTGCAGGAGTACCATTGTTTGAGATAAGGTTTTACCTTGTGTAGAATTATTTGATTTTATGATCATCATTATTTATATTGTATGGTTAAAGGAAAAATACCATTGTATGTAATATATGTAATCTCTGTTGCATGTGATTTTTTGTGATGTTTTGACCAGAACAATCTTCAAACACCTTATCTACTTGCATGCATTCATTGCACAACTGCCGTCAGTTTTGGATTGATAGGGAGACATCATTAGCCCCTTGGAGCCAGGTGCCTGCATGTGGCCCAAAATCCAGGTATTAGGCTTACTTGAGTGGCTACTCTCACAGGTGTGTGGCTTGTGGACCATGTGCACACAGACGCTCTTGTGTGGTGTCAAGACTCCTTGCCTTCCCTTTACAGTGTTATCTCTTTTTCTGCATTTTTTTCTTCTTCTTCTTCTTCTTCTTCTTCTTCTCCTTTTTCTTTCTTTTCTTTTCTTCTCTTCCCTCCCTTCCTCCCTCCTTCCTTCCTTCCTTCTTTTCTTCCTTCCTTCCTTGCTCCCCCCCCCCTAAGGATGAATACATTTCTTACTCATTTATCGATAGGAATAATGCAAGAGCCCTTTCCTAATGGACACGGGAGTCTAATCACCCTCTGAGAGCTTTGTGCACTCATGGCAAGTCCTCTGCATCACCACGGCCTTCAGCCAAATTTCTCATGATGGTATGTTCCTGTCACCCTGGCTCTCAAGCCTCCCCACCCCCTCTCCATGATGTAATGGTCATGTCACATGGTTAACTGGGAAGCAAAGAGACAAAATAGTAGTACTAGATTTCCTCAGTCAAAGATACTATGTAACTTGGTGCTGAGTATTACAAGTGGAGGTCCTCTAGACCTCTTGGCATTTGTTGTGAGGAAATTGTTAGATGTGGTCATAGGACCATTAACTGTTTTGAACAGAAAAGTATGGAGTGAAAGCATTAGGTTGTATTTACTTATGCTTATTTTTCCATCCAAGAATTCTGGTGCCTTAAATGCTTTGTGTCAGATAGTTTACATCTAGAAGAATGTCATATGGAAATCTTCTAGCTAAGAATAACTTTGGAGCATGATTGCTGAGTTTGATTGATGTAAGAAGAAAATAAACCATGACTTTACAACTATTATCTGAATATTGAACACAAAAATATCATATACATTGCTGAGTGTGTGAGAGGTAAAGATTTAAGGGAAGTCGTGCAAGGACAGACATACATTAATGTCACCTTATGCCTGGGTAACTGAAGGTTTTCTGATCTGCTATAAATATGGGCATACGTGTATACTTGAAAGTTTCTTAAGTGTATGCATGTGTGTATAACTGATACTGTTCAGTAAAAGCACATTCCATAATTTATGCTTATGCAAACATAGAGTGAACTAAAATAACGGAAATTATACATGTACAGTATTAGAATGTTTGATCTGTTTGTTTCTGTGTGTTGTTTTTGTCACCCACTATGCTATTGATGAACTCTTTGCACTTAAATTTATTCTTTAACCAATGATTTGATGATTACTTCTACTGTGATAATGACTTATTTTACACATAATGGATATTTTTACTGGAATATCAAACGTTCCTCCATTTCTGATCTTTATCCTTATTTATGGCTTTGCTTCTACAGCCTAATGGGAGACCACAATGGTGAGGCCAGTCAGCTCCAAGAGAAAACTTTTCAGTGCCAGCAAAGAACAGAAAGAAAATGAACCAGGTAAATACTCATTGTTATTGTTTTATTTTTATAATTTTTGATGATACTTTGTAATTGTTCTTGCAATTGTTATTATTTAATTGCTATGATTATCATTATTGTTACAACTATTATTATTACAATTATTCATTGCCCCATTCCCCATTTCCAAACAGCCGATGGCAAATTAAGGACCAAGCAAGGTGAGGCCCTTGGCTACCCTGAGAGCTTCAGTGTAAACAGCATTGGAGGCCAGCGGAAAGGTGGGGTTGCTGCTAACAACCACAATAACAACTCAAGCCTTGGGATAGGAGGGTGCAGCGGCAACGTGGGGGGAGCTGGGAAATTGGTTGAAGGGGGGTGGGGGGCTGAAGATGTAGCACCTTCAACCCACCACACCCCCAACCGCCCGGTCATGCCCATGTCTGAACGGCAGCAGATCGCCCTTCTCATGCAGATGTCATCACCTTCACCCCCAGGTATGGGCATGTGTCTGTGGTGTATATTGACCTTTGCACAAATAATGCAATGTTGCTGGGAAAATGTAGTGTTCACTGTAGTACTGTTATATGAAATGTCTCTTTATAGATCACTCACAAGTATTTAGCCACAAAAGAGTCAATTAGTAGACCTAATGATCTCACCCAATATCCCCTTTCATTTTTCTTCTTCTTCTTCTTTTACCAGTGTTATCAATGTCAATATAATTATGGTTTTTAAAAGGTAAACAAGTGGGGTAGGTAATACTAGTAACTGACTTATTGGTGACTTAGTACTTTTTAGAGATATCCGTTGCAAAGACAGTTAATAAACTAAACTCACAATGGGCATAGCACATATGTATATGACATCCCTGGGAACATCAGTTTAATTGTACTTGCCAATATATACAAGTACATACACATTGATGGATAGATTAGTAAATTAATGAATAGATCATAGAAGCAAAAGCTGCACAATGCTGCTGTATAAAACCCTTTCATAACCCTGTATCTCCACCATTTGCTGCCTTGCACAGACAAAGTAGACCTGAGCCGTTCCAGCAGCCCTCGCACACCAGGTACTCCAAGTGTGTGTCGTGGTGTTAACAAGAGGAATGAGCGTGGAGAGACACCCCTCCACGTAGCCGCCATCAAGGGGGATACAGAAAGGATCTCCCAGCTTATTACTCAAGGTGCTGATGTCAATGCTACCGACTACGCTGGTGAGTGGTTGTATGAAACTGCTTCACATGAGATCTTAATATTCTCTCTCTCTCTCTCTCTCTCTCTCT